CCCCACCCGATCGCATCCTTAGAAGTCAAACTGACTGAATCGTTGGGGAAGAAATGGTGGAGAAGTTCAATATGAGTAGCTAAAACGAGGCCAGGGGCCAACTGTGGAACATAAGTAAATTCAGATCGAAGCTGGAGGAAATGAAAACAAATTCACAAGAGCCAAATTATGAATTTGCATATACCTCAAGACCATTTCAAGAACACACCTGATACATTGAACATTAATGACCGAAGACCTGGTGCGTTGTGGAATGGCATCAGAAGCAACAGGTATGAAGAAAACGAGAGGTCATTAAACAGGAATTAACTAATGCATCAAGGTAGATATCAGATGAGACCCTGACGCGCACTCTTGAGGCGCGAAAGTGAGTGGAAGACATTGATGACGTGAAAGAGCTGAGCAGAAAATTTGAAAAGACAGCGCGAGCAGAGAAAGTAGGATGAATTGTGAAAGACCTGGAGGAAGAAAGCCAAAAAGGAAGAATCTTAAGCTGGAAGAAATTAAAAAATTCAAATCTTGAGCAGCAGTATTGAAGGATTCTATGGGCAAAACATAACCGTAGACCAGTCGAAAGAAGGAATGTACAGTCACTGTTCCAAAAAAGAACTGGTCAACATAAAACCATTTCAAGACATAGCATGTGATTAAGAACCCAGAAAGTCAAAGGGAGAAGTGGAAGCTACGCTCAAGGCAGGAGCAAAAGCAAGGCCCCAGAAGCCAATAGAGCACCAGTTGGAAGGTTTCAGCAAGCTTGTGGAGCACTGGAAGCATTCACTCCTCTCTGCCAAGACATGTGTAAGTTAGCTACCTGACCAGCTGACTGGAAGAGACACATACATGTCTGTCCCCATTCCAAAGCCCGGGGGCCTAGAAGCATGTGGGGATCGTTAAACAATATCATTGATATCACATGTAAGTAAAATTTGGAGATGGTCATTCAGCAACCATCGCATCCACAAGGAGCTTCCAGAAACTCAAGCCAGACTTAGAAGAGGATGTGACACAAGGAATATCCATGCTGCTGTCAGATGGATCTTGGCTGAAAGTAGAGCGCTCCAGAAAGAAGGTCACATGTGTTTTCTAATATATCATTGCAAAGGCATTTGACTGTGTCTTTCACAACAAACTGGAGAGTACATTGAGAAGAATGGGAATTCCTACAGAACCTGTCTATCGGAAGGAGGTGTTCACGCAGACGGGGGAGTACTGCATGGCTTAAAATGAAGGAAGCGTGCACGAGGGTGGTAGCCTTTCACCGTACTTGCTCAATCGGTGCGCTGAGAAGATATTCTGAAAAGCTGGACTCGATGGGGAAGAACTAGGTGTCGAGATTGGAGGGAGCTGTGATACCTGTGATATGCAGATGGCAGGACTTTGCTGAAAAGGAGGAGGGCGGCAAACACTTGCTGGTGACAATCAAAGACTGCAGTCTTCCCTGTAGATTGCGACCCAGAGTAGAACCAGAAAATAAACAAGCTCATTGCCACCAAGTCAGGGCTAACTCATAACAACCCTACAGGACAGGGCAGCACTGCCCCTGTGAGTGTCCAAGATTGTAACTCTTCAGGGGCGTAGAAAGCTGAGTTAGTTAATTGTGCCAACCTGGCCGATAATCACGTGGGGCTAATTGAAAGGCGGAGGGATAAATGGGTGGTGAGCCTCGCCTTGCTAGTTCTCGGGTCTCTTGCTTTGTGATGGTCGCACCAGGGTGCAGCTGCCTTAGCAGTTCCCTGCTTCAGCTTGCAAGATTGACTTCCTGCAAGACATCCCTAAGGAGAAGCCACATGGACTATCCCGATGCAGCCCTGGGTGCTGGAGCAGCCGTGTGGAGACCCCTGCTAGTGCTGAGATGCTTATTCGTTCACTGACTCAGCTTTCCTCCTGCAGTCGGCATCATTGCCTCTGTTTTGTGAGGTGGAGGACTTTGTGGACTGGTGTTGGGTTAATGTTGGACTTGTGGGCTTGGGCAGCATTGGGTTGGGATGTTTTAGTGATGCATACTTTCTTTACATAAAACTCTCTTATACTTGAGTTGCTGTGGATTTATTTCTCTAAAGTACCTAGACTAATACATTATAAATCTCCAGCAAGCAAGAGACCCGAGAACTGGAAAGGCGAGGCTCACCACCCATTTATCCCTCAGCCTTTCCATTAGTCCCACATGTGATTATCGGCCAGGTTGGCACAATTAACTAACTCAATGCCTTCAGAGCGGCTAGTAATTTCGAACTGTTGACCTTGCAGTAAATCACTCAATGCGTAACCACTACACCACAAGGTTCTTAAACGCAATTCACATAAGTCCCAAATCCTGACTGTCGTTTGTTAAGTGCCATCAAGTTGGTTCCAACTCACAGGGACCTTATCTACAACAGGAGGAAGCAGTGCCCAATCTCGCGTCATCCTCACAATCGAGACCCAGGAGAGGTGGAGCCAGATGGGAGGGGCCGCCTAGTTTTTCCAGGTCTCGCAAGTTTTTCTCCATTGTCAGAGTGCAGTCTTCCTGTATCCTTCTTAGTGGAAAATAGCTTTGAATTTCCCTTTTCTGACAGTGTGCCACTATACCCAGCCACAGGCATTCATAGGCTTTTTTATGTAATTATCTTTGAGGACAACCCTAGTAAGGAGACATGGGCCAGATACTGTGATCGAATGGCTAAATAATAGATAACATTGTTCTAGGAGAGGTGAGTGTGGCCAGAATATGCTTGCTGTCTTTTTTCTGTACAGTGTATTATTTTTAGCATGAGCTCTCGTGTCTTCCCTCCCCCCAACTTTCATTCTGTACGGCCCCCCCTCAGGAAACCATAACCTTTTTGTGCTTATTAAGTGAACACAATTCTATTAGCCTTAAAAAGGAACCTTGCATGCCATCTGTATCAGTGCAGTGCCTGAAAAGGGAAACTGTTGCCCTTAATTTTGTGGCTGCTCATTTTCCTTTTCCAGGGAAAGGCCAACGTTGTTGGTTTTAGGTGCCGCCTAGTCGTTTGAACCCTGTGCACCGCAAAAACGAACCCTGCCTGGCCCGGCACCTTCCCCACAATTGTTCCGTGCCTCAGCCCATCATTATAGCCACAGTGTCCATCTCCATCCCCTCGAGGGTCTCTTTCTTTTTCCGCCGCCCCTCTACTTGACCAGGCGTGATGGCCTTCCCCAGGGACTGGTCTCTCCTGACAATGTCCAAAGTAACTAACACCCTTGTAGAAGGAGCTGCTTTCTGTTGTGGTTGTTGATGGTGGTGGTGTGTGTATATGTAGGGGTGTGTGTGTGTACATGGATTTTTCACAGAAGTGAAAAATCTGCCTTTGTAGAAGCTGCCCCCCCCCATTCTGATCTTTATCTAAAGGAGCAGAGTGGGTTAGCTGTGAGGCTGCCAACCACAAGACCAGCAGTTCAAAACCACCAGCAAGTGTGCTGGAGAGAGGCAATGCTTTCTCCTAAAAAGTTACGGCCTCAGTTCTGCCCCGCCCTAGAGGTTCCAGATGAGCTAGAATCGACTTGGCTGCAGTGAGAGGGAGCCTTCTTCCCGGGGAGAAGGATGCGCCCCATTGCTGGATTTTACAGCCTTGGAAACCTTGCGGGGCAGTTCCATTCAATCCCGAGGGTCTCTGGGAGTCAGAATTGGCTTGACAGCGGGGGTGGGGTGGGGGTGAGGATGGGGTGTTGTTTGTTTGATCTCTGCCTTAAAACAATAAAGATACGCCTGGGCACAGAGATCCCTGTTTAGGAATTTAGAGCGAAGATAAAGCATCTTTCTTAAGAAACTTACCAGATCTGGGGATCTTAGAGACAGCTGTGGGCATCCCCAGGGTTGGGGGTAGGGGGGATGGCTGGGGATGCTCCTCTCCGAGGGTGTCCATGCGGGGACAGATTGCCCAGCATGCCTGTTCCTGACCTATCAAAACAGAATTGATGCAGAATGAACCAGAGTGTGGAATGTGCAAACCCAGTCCTCAGCCACACCGCCAGACTCTGGTTGAAAGGACAAAGTCCTCTCTGCCATCGAGTCCCTTCCGGCTCCGAGCATGCTTCTTTACGGGAGTAGAAGGCTTTGTCTCTCTCCTGAGGGGCGACTGGTGGGTTCAAACGAACTGACCTTATGGTTAGCAGGGCCAGCGTACAGTTGCTCCGATACCTGGGCTCTGCCGTTGCTGACAATGAAATGGCAGAATGCTCCCCCGGCTCACTCTTTGCCAGCCTCCTGCCACTCGATTACCCAGCCCCCCAGGCACCCCTGCTTGCGTGTCTTGTCCTGAGTCCCCACCTCTAGAACCATCTCTTCATCCTTTGGTGTAGCTTTCAATGAAGACAGCCCTTCACAGCCCTGGGTGGAAGGAGAGCGGTCCCCCAGCCTGCCTCTAGTCCCTTAGCCTCTTATGGTGCACATAGGAATGTCTGTGTGGACAAACGCCGTGTGGGCTCTGATTGTGAAGAGCCCTCGTGGTGTAGCGGTTAAGCATTAGGCTGAGATCGTAAGGTCAGCAGTTTGAAACCACCAGTCGTTCCGAAAAGTCAACAAAGCTTTCTGCTCCCATGAGCAGTTTACAGTCTTGGAAATCCATAGGAGCAGATCTACTCTGTCCTATGGGGTCGCTATGAGTCAGCATTGACTCAATGCCAGTGAGTTTTGTTTTTTTCAACAGAGGTGGTGTTGGGCCCGATGTCCGTAGCATGGGAGTCAAAGCTCGTTTGTCTCGGTTCCTGAAGTCTGCTCTTCTCTTGTTGCGACCGGTGTCTTCAGAATGAGAAGATCGGTAGCGCCCCCCCCCACACCGCGCCCCACCCCCTGCCCCCACAGCACTGTGATGCTCTCTCATACCACCCTGTTGCCTTGCTGTGGGCCGGCCTGATGCAGCTCTGGAGACACAATTTGGCCTGGCCGGCGGGGCTGGGGACAGAGCGGGCCGGCTGAGGGAAGCCATGTGGCTGCAGCTGAGAGACGCTGGGCCTCATGTCTGGCTGGTGTTTAACCCTCCCCTCCATCACCCCCACCCCAGATCCAGCAGTGGGAGCAGAACCTGGAGAAGTTCCACATGGACCTGTTCCGGATACGCTGCTACCTGGCCAGCCTCCAGGGCGGAGAGTTGCCAAACCCCAAGAGTCTCCTGGCCACCACCAGTCGTCCGTCCAAGCTGGCCCTGGGCAGGCTGGGCGTCTTGTCCGTGTCCTCCTTCCACGCACTGGTGAGTCCCCAAGGAAGCCCTGACCCAGGAACCACAGGTGGCCTCCCAGAGGCAGTTAGCAGCCCATTGCATGACCCTGACACCACTGGGGTCCAACCACGAGTGGGCGGTGGTGCCCTATTCACACCTGTCTACCTGTCTGGCCACCTCTTGGAGCTCCAACCCCCAAATCTCAGCCCACTTCCATTAACTCCAGTCCCCTCACGATGATCCAATAGTCCAGGGCTCTCAAGGCTGCAACCCTTTACGGGATCAGACAGCCTTGTCTCTCTCCCTCAAGCAGCCAGTGGGTTTGAGCCGCTGACCTTGTGGTTAGCAACCCAGCACCTAACCCTCTCTGCCACCAGGGCTTAGGAGGGTGAAGTCCTGAGGAATCGCAGCAAGGCTGTGCAGAAACACCCGTGCCGGGGTTCCAAGGGCTGAGTTTTTGAAAAATAGATCACCGGGTCTTTGTGAGGGGGTCCTCTGGTGGATTTGATCCTGGTGGTTAACAGTCAAGGGTGTTCTGTTTGCCCCGCTCAGGGGACCCTTGAAGAAGGGCAGGGCTGGCTACCGGTTTCTGACGTGCTTCCCGGTGGGTAGCTCTGTGGGCTCCACTGCCCAGCACGGAGAAGCAGTTTCAAGTCTGTGAGCTGCTGCAGGGTGCCAAACGTGTGGCAGCTTTGAACGCTGTCCAGCTCGCGTTGACTGGAAGCCAACCTTCCTTCTGTAGGGGCAGCTGTTGAATCTCTGGGTCGCCCAGAGCGGCAGCCTGACGGGCGGTCTCTGCTCTACCTGACATTAGGTGTGCTCTAGAGATGACTCTGCGCTCCGGAAGAGAACACTCTCACTGACCCAGCGCGGGAGGCACAAGAAGAGCCTATTCTCCTCTTTGAAAGGGCTGGACACGCTGGCGAGGAAAGCCAAGGAAAAGAGACCTTCCCTCACACAGGTGAGCTCCTCAGTGCGGGCGGTGGCCAAGCGGGATGGTGGGGGCTCGTAGATGCTCACCTCTGCCCAGGGCGTGACAGAGGTGGGTTCTGAGAATTCCAGTCTGTCTGCATGGGGACGTTTTCCTTCGCACGTCAAGTTGCTCGTGGTCATTTTAGCACCACCTCTAAATCCTCACACCGTGGGCACACCTGTAGCCCTTGCACCTACTGCGCTCAGGTGGGTCTGATTCACAGCGACCCTGTAGGACTGCATAGCAATGCCTCGTAGAGTTTCTCAGGCTGCATGCCTGGCCCCTGCTTTCTTCCTCAGAGCAGTTGGTAGGTTCAAGCCACCACTGAGTGAATAGCCCAGTGCCTGGCCCCCTGTGGCGCCAGGGCATGGGCCTCCAGCACTTGTTCGGTGCCGTCCTTCTAACTCGTTGCTAGACAGCCCCGACCCATAGCAGCCACATGTACTGCAGAAGGAAGTCTACCCCATCGTCCTGCACCGTCCACCCCATCTCGGCTCTGTTTGAGCCCATTGCTGCCGCCCCTGGGTCGCTCCATCCTGCCGAGGGTTTTTTTTTACCAAATGTGGAGCCCTCTCCCAGGGGCCGACAGCCTTACCAAACCAAACTCGCCGCCATCGGGTCCATTCTGACTCACAGCAACCAGACAGGACCGGGTGGAACTGCCCAGGTGGGTTTCCGAGACCGGTACTCTTGAGCGGCCCAGAAAGCTTCCTCTTTCTCCCGCGAGCAGCACTCCTGTTGTCAGGTGCTGTGGAGTTGGTCCCGATGTGCAACAGAAGGAAGACACCACTGGCCAGCACATAGGGACCCAACGTCGTCCTCACTTTCCACTGCCTTTAGTTGTTACATTCACCCCCCCACCCCCCACCCCCGTAGCTGCTGTGTTGTAATAAATGGAGAAAACGAGGCCCCATCCCAGTGGCAGCCGAGTTCTGGCAGCTGAGCCAGACACTTTGCTCAGCTAAAGACAACAGCCCTGCGTGTTTGTGTCCTGGCCTTTACAGATGAGGAAGCTGACGCAGAGAGAGGTTAATTCACTCACCCCTGGTCACACGGACCCCGAGGAGCAGATGGCTGCAGGCGGACTCAGATGTGCCTGGGCCAGAGCCCAAGAGCACTGGGCTCATGAAGTAGAAATCCCCCGAGTCCTTACCACGGGCTTTTGACCGGAGGACAGCAAATTGGATGGTGAGATGAAGTCTCACATGATTTGGATGCGTTATCAGGAGAGACCCATCCCTGGAAAAGGCTGTCATTCTTGATAAAAAGGGAGGGGCCTTGAAGATGAGGGAGACCCCGGTGAGCTGATTAACACAGTGGCTGAATCAGAACAGCAGCTGTGAAGCTGGGGCCGGACCGGCACCCCTGGTGCTGCTGTACACAGCTGCAGCAAATGGTCTTCAAAGCATGTTGAGTTCCCGTGCATCTGTGAACCATTTCAGATGCCCCATAACAGCCTTTGATAGTCAATGCCATGCCGTTGACTTGGTAGTTGGCAGGACCCTTCCTGCTCCAACAACAGCAGCTGAGGTGAGCCATCTTACATGATCTGAAAAAACACATGAGTAGGTGGAAATGCTTGCAATCACGTGCGAAGGAGTTCTTTTATTTTTTTTTAAACAGGTTTTTCTAAATAGTTTTCCATCACCTGGAACCGAGGACAGCATTGTTAGAACGTGGTTTTCTAGTTTTCGTAGACGATGGTACAGACGGTCTTGTGGATTAGGGAATAAAATGCCTCGTAAGCACTTCTCGGACCTGTTGAAACCCCTGGGACAATCAAGTCTTCGCGGGTGAGGGGGGGCGGGGTAGGTTAGACGGCAGCCACCGTGTGGCAGATTGCTGACCCGGATGCTCAATGACGTGGGGAAATGCTAGTCCAAGGACCTTTTTGTGAATGTATTGAAGATAGATTTAGATCGAAACCAGTCTTCATTAGTGAAACAAGAGGCAGGCTCTGAAGGGCGAGTATTGTAGGAAGCGTCTGTACTCATGGCAGTCTGTCTTGAAATCAGTGACACGACCAGGCTCAAACTCAAAACGACCCAAGTGGCCATGGAGTGGACTGTGGCTCCTAGTGACTCAGGTCCGGTTCCTGAGACTGCTCTCCACGGGCGGGCGCAGGCAGCCTCGTCTCTCGCCCACGGAGCGGCTGGTGGTTTTGAACTGCCGCCCTTTTGGCTAGCAGCCCAACACTTATCCGGACGTCCCGACCAGATTGAAGTCGGGTGAAGCCGGTTGCCGATGATTGGGTGCAGCCCATGGTGTCCCCACACGGCACCGGCAGAGACGTGTTTGCTTCAGGAGTTGTAGTGCCTGACTTTCCAGAAGGACACCGTCACCTCTCTCTTCTGAGGCGCCTCTGGGGGGACTCCAACCTCCAGCCTTCTGGCTTGTCATTGGGCACGTTCATAGCTTGGCCCCCCCCTCAGGGACTCCAAGTTAGAATGGCGCCTCTCATTCACGTTCACAGCTTACCCATACTGGAGTGTTCAGAAAATCCCAGATTGCATTTACGCCCCCCTCAGGGTTGTCCACGAAGAACACATTCCAGGGAGTGTGTTCGTTACCTGCACCTTCCCTCGGTGGAGCTGAGAGCAGTATGTCCCCCTGCCAGTCCCCAGAATTACTTCTGGCTGAACAAATTCCCAGGTGTGGCCGTACCGCGCCTCTTCTGGCCTTTCTCAAGCCCACATCTTCCTTCCCCTTTAAAGCCCCATCATGTGGTTGGTCTGTTTCTCCAACTTACCCTCCGCCAAAGAATGGTTTGAACCAAGGCTTCTGGTCCCCCACACCTTGTCAGCTGTTTGCTGGTTGCTGAGGTTGTCGTCTGACGATGCCTTTGGAGAAGCCAGCCCAGTTAGGCAATGCGTTCTCTGGGCTCATCAGAGCAGCGGGGCAGGGATTGGAAAGAGCCGAGGTCTGGTGGGGTATTGGATGCAGCAACAGGTCCTGGGGAGAGGGAGTCTAGGGATGCGCTGTTGGGTGCTGGTCAGCAGGCTGTTGTCAGATGCCATCCATTCAGTTCCCACTCCCCGACCCTGTGCCCGACAGGACACAACACTGCCCAGCCCTGCGCCATCCTCACCATCACTCTTAGGTTTATGCCCATTGATGCTGCAGCCACTGTGTCAGACCCTCTTGCCGAAGAGCTTCCTCCTTTTGGCTGCCCCTCTACTTTACCACGTTCAATGTCCTTCTCCAGGGACTGATCTCTCCTGACAGCTTGTCCAACGTTGTGTGAGATGAGGACCGGTCCCCCATCATGTCTGTCACGGGCTGTTTGGTCTGCCTTGGGGAACCTGCTCCAGGTGGTGACTCTACCTGGCATGTGCTCGGCTCAGAGCTCTGTTTCCCTCCAAGTCCCATCCGAGGGATGAGGGGCTGGGAAGGAGAATGGGTGGGGTGGACCAGGGGCCTGGCCCACTGGAGTCCTTCTCTCCTCGGTGCTGTGTGCTCGACTGGAACAACTGTGGTGGAAAGTGAGAGACCTCTCTCCAGGTAAATTGGACCGGCAAATTGGCAGCCTTCCCATCACCTGCCATTTCCCTTCCCTGCTTCCTATCTTTCCACACACCCAGAGCTGCGTTCAGCACCCGGACCCAGTCACAGCCTCTTGGAAAGAGCCGAGGTCTGGTGGGGTGTTGGATGCAGCAACAGGTCCTGGGGAGAGGGAATCGAGGGAGGTGCTGTTGGGGGCTGGTCAGCAGACATGGATGGATGGATGGATGGATGGATGGATGGATGGATGGATAGATAGATGAAGAAATCTCCCTGCCATCGAGTGGATGCCAGTGCAAAGCGAGGCCCACCCACCCCCTGTGGGTTTCTGAGACCATAACTGCTGACGGGAGTAGAAAGCCCAGTCTTGCTCCCTCAGAGCTGCTGGTGGTTTTGAACTGCCAACCTTGAGGATCGAAGCCCATGTGAGGGTTCTTCACAAAGTTTGTGGGGGAAAAATGTCATGAAAAGGTAATGGCATGAGGGGCTTGCCCCAATTCCAACTACCTGGACAGCTGCCCCTCCCCTCAGAAGAAGTTACTGAACCCACAACTCAGGGAGAGGGACCTGTCTGATCAGAGCACATGGGAGCAAATGAAGGGGGAGGAAGAAAGAGTGGAACACATCATGGCCCATCAGGCCTGGAGGACGATGCTCAGAACAGCCAATGCACAGAGAGGACCATATGGCCGACCCCACTATGAGACACAACATCCCGTATTGACCCATAGCCCTAAAGGGGACAACACTGGAGACACAGTGTGGGAATTGCGTCCTATCTGATCCCACCACACAGAGGCAAAGCACTTAGGGTGTGCAACAGAAAAGCAAGGGGAACAGAGCAAGGCAGTCCCAAGGGAATACCAAAGATAGACTTTGGGGCCAGGCCATGGCACCCCATCAGATTTGACCAGAAAACACTCCCAAAGGTCAACAAACAGACTTTGAACTATTTACAGGCTTTTATTTTTTTTTTTTGTCATTGGTTTGTTGTTGTTTTGTTTTGCTTTCTTTTGTTGTTTTGTCTTGCTCTGTCTTGTTTTTGTGCATATTATTATCTCTGCAGGTCTATCTAGATAAGATAGGCAGGATAAACAATCTGGAGGAGAAAACAAATGGGACCAATGGTTCCGGGGGACAGGGGAGAGGGGGAGGTAGGGGAAAGGAAGTGGTGGTAACAAACCCAGGGACAAGGGAACAACAAATGATACAAAATCGGTGGTGAGGAGGGTGTAAGAGGCCTAGTAGGGCGTGATCAAGGGCAATGTAACCAAGAGAAATTACTGAAACCTAAATGAAGGCTGAGCATGATAGTGGGACAAGAGGAAAGTCAAAGGAAATAGAGGAAAGAACTCAAAGGCAAAGGGCATTTATGGAGTCTAAATACAGGCATGTACATGTGTAAATATATTTATATATGATGATGGGGAAATAGAGCTATGTGTGTACATTTATAGGTCTAGTATTAAGGTAGCAGATGGACATTG